TCTAGAGAGAAGCTGCTTCCGTATAGATGGGGAGGGAGCAAAATCCCAGCCAAATAACAGATCTAGTGTTTTTGCAGCCACTTAAAAGACTAACAAGTTTATTCGGCATAGCCTTTTGGGAACCGCAGCCCACGTGGAAGCTTATGCACAATAAACCCTATGGTCTTGAAAGTGCCAAGAGACATATTCCTTGTTGTAAAGAAACAGACTAACATGTCTTCCCCATCCCACACCCAGATCATCCAATATGGTACATAAGATGAGTCATAGGACCTGTCTTGGAGTCCTTTAGGTCTCCTGCTTCCTGGGATTGTGGAGGGGAAAACTCTTGCTCAATGGAGCCACACACCTCTGGAAGCACAATGCCTTCTCCACCCAAAAAAGCCCCTGTACTTTGGTCTTGCTTCTCACTGGGTCAAACTGACCATCTTGAGGAGATTCTGACAAACAAGTGGCTTGGAAGGAATAGTCCTACCCTATTCTGTTTTTGGTCAAACCTCGCCTCGAATCCTGAATCCAGTTCTGGACATCACAGTTGAGGAAGGGTGTTGACAAGCTGAATGTGTCCAGAGAAGGACAACCAAAACAATCCAAGCTCTAAAATCAAAGCCTGATGAGGATTGGCTTTGGGAGCTGAGTATGTTTTGCTTGGAGAAGAGAAGGCTGAGAAGGGACATGAGAGCCATGTTTAAATAAATGAATTGATGTCACATTGAGGAGAAAGGGGCAAACTTGTTTCCTTCTACTTTGGAGATTCGGACATAGAATAGTGAATTCCAATTGCAGGACAAAAGATTCCACCTAAACATCAGGAAGAACTTGGTAAGAGCTCCTCAACAGGGAATATTCTGCCTGTGAGGACCCTTACACACAGCCATATAACCCAGAATATCAAGGCAAATCATCCACAATATCTGCTTTGAACTGGATTATCTGAGTCTGCACAACCATATAATCCAGTGCAATGTGAACTTTATGCATCTTTGTGGTAGGGGCCAGAGTCCGGTGGAGTCTCCTTCTTTGCAGGTTGTAAAGCAGAGGCTGGATGGCCATCAATTGTGTGTACATGAATGTACAGGGAGCCCAGATTTTATGGACACCCTGTATTTTAATGCATGGCAGGATGGGATTGGATTGGATGGCTCTTGGAGTCTCATCCAACTCTAGGATTCTCAGATACTGTGTTTAGCTTGGAGAAAATAAGATTGGGGGAAAGAGGATGGCCATAGAATCCTAGAGTCAGAAGAGACATCGTGAGCCATCCAGTCCAACCCCTTTCTGCCAAAAAGCAAGAAAATCTCATTCAAAGCACTCCTGACAGATGGCCATCGGGACTCTGCTTAAAAGCCTCCAAAGAAGGAGCCTCCAACACACTCCAGGGCAGAGAAATCCACTGCTGAACAGTTCTCACATTTAGAAAGTTCTTCCTAATGTTCAGGTGGAATCTCCTTTCTTGTAGTTTGAAGCCATTGTTCCACATCCTAGTCTCCAGGGCAGCAGAAAACAAGCCTGCTCCCTCCTCCCTATGCCCCCCCTCACATATTTATACATGGCTATCATATCTCCTCTCAGCCTTCTCTTCTGCAGGCTAAACATGCCCAGCTCTTTAAGCAGCTCTTCATAGGGCTTGTTCAGCAGACCCGTGTGTGTGTGTGTGTGTGTATTCATATCAGGAGCGACGTAAGAAACTGCAAGTCGCTTCTGGTGTGAGAGAATTGGCCATCTGCAAGGATGTTGCCCAGGGGACACCGGGATATTCGATGTTTTTTTTCTGGGTTTTTTTTTCAAATTATTTTTATTGAGAATAAATTGTCTCTGATAGATTGGAGCATGAGAAAAGTTTGTAAAATTGCGATAGGTTTACAACAAAAGTGTGAGAACAATACATGAAATAATTTTTCGATGTTGATGTTTTAACATCCTTGTGGGAGGCTTCTCTCATGTCCCCGCATGGGGAGCTGGAGCTGACAGAAGGAGCTCCACCTGCTCTCCCCGGATTCAAACTGCTGACTTTTTGGTCAAGAATGTCACATTGCTGCCCTGGAGACTAAAGCAGGGAGCAATGGATTCGAACTACAGGAAATAGATCCTGAAGTCAAAACCTGTTGGAATATACTGCCTGCAAGTCTGGTGGAGACTCCTTCTCTGGGGGATTTTAAACCTAAGCTGGATGGCTTAGATTGTGGGTTCCTTGCATGGCAGAGGATTGGACCAGCTGGCCCCGGTAGGAATTGTGGGAGTTGAAGTCCAAAACAGCTGGAGGGCCCAAGCTGGCCATGCCTGGGGTGGTCCTTGAACTCTCTTCTAACTCCACGATTCAGTGGCATGTTCCCTAGGTATTGTACCTGTGTGACCTAAGGGTTAGTTAATTGGAAGGTGTTGCTTTTCCCCTAGAGCAGTGGTTCTCAACATGTGGGTGTTTTGGCCTTCAACTCCCAGAAATCTTTATAGCTGGTAAACTGACTGAAAAAAAGATCTTGGAGTCCTCGTGGACAACAAGTTAAACATGAGCCAACAATGTGATGCGGCGGCAAAATAAGCCAATGGGATTCTGGCTTGCATCAATAGGAGCCTAGTGTCTAGATCCAGGGAAGTCATGCTACCCTTCTATTCTGCCTTGGTTAGACCACACTTGGAATATTGTGTGCAATTCTGGGCACCACAATTGAAGGGAGATATTGACAAGCTGGAATATATCCAGAGGAGGGCAACTAAAATGATCAAGGGTCTGGAGAACAAGCCCTATGAGGAGCGGCTTAAAGAGCTGAGCATGTTTAGCTTGAAGAAGAGAAGGCTGAGAGGAGACATGATAGCCATGTATGAATATGTGAGAAGAAGTCATAGGGAGGAGGGAGCAAGCTTGTTTACTTCTGCCCTGGAGACTAGGACATTGAACAACAGCTTCAAACTACAAGAAAGGAGATTCCATCTGAACATTAGGAAGAACTTCCTGACTGTGAGAGCTGTTCAGCAGTGGAACTCTCTGCCCCGGAGTGTGGTGGAGGCTCCTTCTTTGGAAGCTTTTAAACAGAGGCTGGATGGCCATCTGTCAGGGGTGCTTTGAATGTGATTTTCCTGCTTCTTGTCAGAAAGGAGCTGGACTGGATGGCTCACAAGGTTTCTATAATCCTATGGCCATCCTCTTTCCCCCCAATCTTATTTTCTCCAACACTGCATCAGAGAATCCTAGAGTTGGAAGAGACTCCAAGAGCCATCCAATCCAATCCCATCCTGCCATGGAAAAAAATACAGGGTGTCCATAAAGTCCGGACACCCTATACATTCATGTACACACAATTGGTGGCCATCCAGCCTCTGCTTTACAACCTGCAAAGAAGAAGACTCCACCAGACTCTGGCCCCTTCCACAAAGATGTACAAAGTTCACATTGCACTTGATTATATGGTTGTGCAGACTCAGATAATCCAGTTCAAAGCAGATATTGTGGATGATCTGCCTTGATATTCTGGGTTATATGGCTGTGTGGAAGGGCCCCCACAGGCAGAATATTCCCTGTTGGCCTGCATTAATAGGAGCATAGTGTCTAGGTCCAGGGAAGTCATGCTACCCCTCTATTCTGCTTTGGTTAGACCACACCTGGAATATTGTGTCCAATTCTGGGCACCACAATTCAAGAGAGATATTGACAAGCTGGAATGTGTCCAGAGGAGGGCAACTAAAATGATCAAGGGTCTGGAGAACAAGCCCTATGAGGAGCGGCTTAAGGAGCTGGGCATGTTTAGCCTGAAGAAGAGGAGATATGATAGCCATGTATAAATATGTGAGAGGAAGCCACAGGGAGGAGGGAGCAAGCTTGTTTTCTGCTTCCTTGGAGACTAGGACGCGGAACAATGGCTTCAAACTGAACATGAGGAAGAACTTCCTGACTGTGAGAGCCGTTCAGCAGTGGAACTCTCTGCCCCGGAGTGTGGTGGAGGCTCCTTCATTGGAATCTTTTAAACAGGGGCTGGAAGGCCATCTGTCAGGGGTGATTTGAATGCAATATTCCTGCTTCTTGGCAGGGGGTTGGACTAGATGGTCCATGAGGTCTCTTCCAACTCTTTGATTCTATGATTCTTTGGAAGCTTTTAAACAGAGGCTGGATGGCCATCTGTCAGGGATGCTTTGAATTAAATTTTCCTGCTTCTTGGCAGAGGGTTGGACTAGATGGCCCATGAGGTCTCTTCCAACTCTATGAAGCTATAGGCCAAACTTGGGGACCTACAGGTTGAGAACCACTGCCCTAGAGCAATGAGATGTGCAGGGCAGGAAGTGGTAGGGCTTGGGTCTTCTGCCTGGCAGAAGGGGGTTGGACTGGATGCTCCAGGGAGTCTCCTCTCCATGATTCCCTGAAGCCAGGGGGACTGAGGCTGCCCTCTCCTCCCCTCTGGGCCTTCTTTGGTGCTCCTTGGAGTGGGCCAGCTCTCCTTGGAGTGGGCCAGCTCTCTCTCTCTCTCTCTCTCTCTCTCTCTCTCTCTCTCTCCCTTTGGGCGCCAGCCTGGGAAGGAAGGGCGTGGATCCTGCCCTCTCCGCCTCCGTCTCCGGGGATTGTCGTTGGCCGGGGCGGGAGGATGGCGAGGCTGAAGGTCTGCTAAGGAGAGCGGTGCCTTGGCAACAGCGAGGCTGCCCTGGCATGCTAATCGTCGCCGCGCCGGGTTTGGGCGAAGGCAAGCGAAGAGACGGGCAGAGGAGGGAGGATGGAGGGCTGGCTGGCTGGGTGGCCAAGAAGGCGAGCATCGAGCCTGGCACAAAGGCACAGCCTCCTTTCCCTCCTCCTCCTCCTCCTCCTCTTCCAGACCTCGGCTGTGATTTCCACCCTTCCTCCTTCCACGCTGCAAAGGCAGCCACCAAATGCGCACACACGCCCCTCCGCAGCTTCGCAAGACCCCGAAAAATCGGACAAGCCAAGCCATGCGCTCCCTTCTTTCTTTCTTCCCTTGCTTCCTTCCCTTGCTGCCTGACCTCCGCCTCCCGCCCCTTCTCCCCCTCCCCAGGCTTACCGATGGCGGTTTTGGAGCCAATGCAGCCCATAGTCTCCGGGGGCCACCTAGGAGGGCCCAGACCCTCGCCTCATCGCCCCGGCAGCACCGCATGGGCTGGGAGCCGGACCGGGGCTGGCCAGGGCTCGCTCGCTCTGCCCCAGACAAAGCGGCGGAAGGAGGGAGAGAAGGAGGAGGGACGGGTGGAGGGACGGAGGGAGGGACACAGACCCCCCGCCAGACACACACAGACGCCCCGCACTCACGCCCAGCGTCCTCCTCTCCAGAGCCCGGGCTCCTCTCGGCTGCTCTTCCTCCTCCTCTTCCTCCTCCTCCTCTGGCCCCGGAGCAGGGCTGCTTTGCAAGGCTGGCGTCTCAGGGACTCTGGGGCTGGACCCGCTGCACGGCCCGCGACGTCACTGCTGCTGGAGGAGGAGGGAAGGAGGGAGGGAGGAGGAAGAGGAGGAGGAGGAGGAGGGAAAGGAAGAGAGAGAGGGGGGGGGGAGAGGAGAGGGAGGCCCTTCAGCACCCGAGACAGCGCGCTCGGCCTCAGCACCTCGGACAGCTCCAAAGGCAAGCAGAGCTGGATGCTTTCAGCACCTTGGACAGCTCTGCTCGAGCCAAAGCCTAGAGGTCGGGGACTTTGACTGGAAGCCGGTTGCTTTCAGCACTTAGGACAGCTCAGCTTGGTTTGAACCCTAGACATTGGGGCTTTTGTTTGGACAAGCAAGCGGGGCTCTTCATGCAGGGGGGGCCTTTCTACACCTGCTTTGGAAAGGGCGACATTCATTCCCCTTCCTTCCTTCCTTTCTTCCTTCCGCGAAGTCAGTGATTCTCAACATTCCTAATGCCATGACCCCTTAATACAGTTCCTCATGTTCTGGTGACCCCCAACCATAAAATTACTTTTGTTGCTTTAGTTGCTACTTCATAACTGTCATTTTGCTACTGTTAGGAATCATAATGTAAATATCTGATATGCACATCAACGACTTAAATCAAGAAATAGTTTTCTTAGATCTACAAAGACACTTGCTGGAACACCTCAGCAAGCAAGAGTTCAAAAGTGGCAGGCTCAAACCCAGCACCTCAATTCATGGGTGATACCAGATGAGAGATGGGAGCCCCCGGTGGCGCAGTGGGTTAAAGCACTGAACTGCTGAGCTTGTTGATCGAAAGGTCGCAGGTTCGATTCCGGGGAGCGGCGTGAGCTTCCGCTGTCAGCCCTAGCTTCTGCCAACCTAGCAATTCGAAAACATGCAAATGTGAGTAGATCAATAGGTACCACTCCGGCGGGAAGGTAATGGCGCTCCATGCAGTCATGCCGGCCACATGACCTTGGAGGTGTCTACGGACAACGCTGGCTCTTTGGCTTAGAAATGGAGATGAGCACCACACCCCAGAGTCAGACATGACTGGACTTAATGTCAGGGGACTACCTTTACCTTTACCTTACCAGATGAGAGACTCCCCCCTGGGCACACCAAAGACTGGGCGACTTGGAAGGCGCTCAACAGACTGCACTCTGGCACCACGAGATGCAGAGCCAATCTCAAGAAATGGGGCCACAAAGTGGAATCCACTACATGCGAGTGTGGAGAAGAGCAAACCACTGACCACCTGCTGCAATGCAACCTGAGCCCTGCCACATGCACAATGGAGGACCTTCTTGCAGCAACACCAGAGGCACTCCAAGTGGTCAGATACTGGTCAAAGGACATTTAATCAACTACCAAGTTTGGGTTTTTTTTATCTGTTTGTTTGTTTTGTTCTGTTAGAAATGTAACACAATGGTCTGGTTGCTGATGACACGATAAATAAATAAATAAATATCTGATATGCAGGATGTATTTTCATTCACTGGACCAAATTTGGCACAAATACACAATTAACCCAAATTGGAATACTGGCGGGATTGGGGGGAGAATTGATTTTGTCATTTGGGAGTTGTAGTTGCTGGGATTTATCGTTCACCTACAATCAAAGAGCATTCTGAACTCCACCAACAATGGAATTGAACCAAACTTAGCACACAGAACTCCCATGACCAACAGAAAATACTGGAAGGGTTAGGTCAGCATTGACCTTGAGCTTGGGAGTTATAGTTCACCTACATTTGGAGAGCACTGTTGACTCAAACAATGGTGGATCTGGACCAAACTTGGCATGGATACTCAATATGCCCAAACGTGAACACTAGTGGAGTTTGGGGAAAATAGACCTTGAAATTTGGGAGTTGTAGTTGCTGGCAGGCATGTAGCCCGGGGTGGGGGGCTTGAACGGCCTCCGCTCCCCCCCCCCCCCGAAATTCTCATGGTGGTCCGCAAGAAGGCCTTACTGGTGCATTATTTAAACTGTTATGTTTATTCATATCATGATCTGATCACCATGCTCAATATATCCCATATGCATGGGGGTATTGGGGTAATGATACAAAAGGTTTGCTAAGGTAGACCCTCTTTTACTCAGACTCAGCCCCCCACTCGAATCAAACTCAGCTCCCTCCGAACAAAATCCTAGCTATGGGCCTGGTTGCTGGGATTTATAGTTCACCTACAATCAAAGAGCACTCTGAACCCCACCAACTATAGAATTAGCCCAAATTTCCCACACAGAACCCCTATGACCAACAGAAAGTTCTGACGGTCTTTGGCGACCCCTCTGACACCTCCTCATGACCCCCCCCCCAGGGTCTCAACCCCCAGGTTGAGAAACACTGCCGCCCTAGAGGTTGGGATTTTTGTTTGGCCAAGCAGGTGGGACTCTGCATGCAGGAGGACCTTTTCTACACCTGTTTTGGAAAGGGCTACATTCATTCCCATTCCCCTTCCTTCCTTCCTTCCTTCCTTCCTTCCTTCCTTCCTTACTTCCTTCCCTCTCTCCCTTCTCTGAGTCACCCTCCCCCTCCCAAAGTGCCCCCTTGTGCACCAACAAGACAGGCTCCAAAAAAGATATTATGGGTGCCCAAGTAGAGTGGCCAGGCTTCGCTACACACATATTTCTTACCTGCACAAAACACACAGCAAGACAAAGTGTTTGTTTACCTATTTGTGGCAGTAAACAGACTGGCAACTACAAGATTTGGCTCAAGGGCACTGACATTGAGGACCCAACCCTGGCCCATCATTCCTTTTCACCTAAAGCATGTTTTTAACAGAGGGAAACCAAATGCATATGTGTGCCCCCAAGTGCCTTCTTCTGCACCAGCAAGACAGGCTCCAAGAAGATGTTATGGGTGCCCAATCGGCGTAGTCAGGCTTCACTACATACATATTTCTTACCTGCACAAAACACACAGAGCAAGACAAAGTGTCTGTTTACCTATTTGTGGCAGTAAACAGACTGGCAACTACCATGCCTCCCCTGAAGTCTCTCTCTTTGCACACAAGATTTGGTGCAAGGACACTGACACTACTTTCTCATCACTATCTCAAATAAAGCATGTTTAAAGGAGGGCAACTAGTCACATATGTGCACCCCTAAATGCCTTCTTCTGTACCATCAAGACAAGCTCCAAGAAGATGTTATGGGTGCCCAAGCAGAGTGGCCAGGCTTCACTACACACATATTTCTTACCTGCACAAAACACGCAGAGTAGTAAACAGACTGGCAACAACTATACCTCTCCCAAAGTCACTCTCTTTATACACAAGATTTGGCTCAAGGGCACTGACACTGAAGACCTAAACTAGCCCATCACTCCTTTCTCACCTAAAGCATGTTTAGAGGATGATAATGAGACACATATGCACGCTCCCAAGTGCCTTCTTCTACACCGGCAAGATAAGCTCCAAGAAGATGCTATGGGTGCCCAAGTGGAGTGGCCAGGCTTCGCTACCCACGCAAAATACCCAGAGCAAGACTCCCTTCCAAAGTTTCTCTTTACCTATTTGTGGCAGTAAACAGATTGGCAACTACCATGTCTCCCCCAAAGTCTCTCTCTTTGTGCACAAGATTTGATTCAAGGGCACTGGCATTGAAGACCCGATCCTGGCCCATCACTCTTTTCTCACCTAAAGCATGTTTAAAGGAGGACAACTAGCCACATATGTGCGCCTCCAATTGAATTCTTCTGCACCAGCAAGGCAGGCTCCAAGAAGATATTTGGGTGCCCAAGCAAAGTGCCCAGACTTTGCTGCACATATATTTCTTACCCGCACAAAGCACGCAGAGCAAGACTCCCTTCCAAAGTGTCTCTCCAGCTCTTTAAGCCAGTGCTATTTGTGGCAGTAGAATCATAGAGTTGGAATAGACCACAGGGGCCATTCAGGCCAACCCCAGTTCCTGCCAAGAAGCAGGAATGTTGCATTCAGAGCACTCCTGACAGAGTGCTGGTGCAAGGACACTGACACTGTTTAAAAGCTTCCAAAGAGGGGACCTCCACCACACTCCAGGGCAGAGAGTTCCACTGCTGAATGGCTCTCACAGTCAGGAAGTTCTTCCTCATGTTCAGATGGAATCTCCTCTCTTGTAGTTTGAAGCCATTGTTCCACGTCCTAGTCTTCATGGCAGCAGAAAACAAGCTTGTTCCCTCCTCCCTGTGGCTTCCTTTCACATATTTATACATGGCTATCATATCTCCTCTCGGCCTTCTCTTCTTCAGGCTAAACATGCCCAGCTCTTTAAGCCACTCCCCAAAGGGCTTGTTCTCCAACCCTTGATCATTTGAGTCGCCCTCCTCTGGACACAGTCCAGCTTGGCAATAAACAGAATGGCAACTACCATGCCTCCCCCAAAATCTCTCTCTTTGTGCACAAGATTTGGCTCAAGGTCAAAGACACTGAAGACCCTGGCCCATCATTCCTTTCTCACCTAAAGCATGTTTAAAGGAGAGCAACCAGCAACCTGTGCGATGTGGAAAGTGACTGAATCAGTTATTACCACACATGGTTTGGGAAAAGTTAAATTACAACCACCCCCAATACACAGACTGACATGTCTTACTGATCCCAGCTCTGCCATCCTCCAAGTGCCTTCTTTTGCACCAGAAAGATGGGCTCAGAGTGCTCTTGGCACTCCAAGGAAATGTTGTAGGTACAAAACAGTAGTGGCAAGGGTCTGCTCTCTCTATATTTTTGAACACACAAATACAATGAAAAAGACACCCCTCTCCACATGTACCTTTCTAAAAAAAATTTAATTCCTACTTGGATGTGGTGTAACTTCACTATATACATTTCTTGCACATACAAGCACACAGAACAAGGCTCGTTCCAAAGTGTCTGTTTACCTATTTGTGGCAGTAAATAGACTAGCA